TTGACTGTGTATTACCAACCGTCATAGCCGAGGATGAACTTTCTACAAACTTTGCAAATGCTTGGCAAGGGAAAAGGCTGTATTCACTGAGAAATACAAGGTAAATGTGGCTACCTACCTGCTCGGCAGTCAGGTCCCTCTGTGGCTGGGCCATCATCTCATAGCCCACCATAAACTTGCGCACGGTTGCTGATCGCAGCAGAGGGGGGAAGTACAATGCATGGAGCTGCCAGTGGCTGTTGTCTTCAGAGAGTGCCTCCCCTGTGGGAGCACCTGAGGTATGAGGAGAGGTAAATTTGACAAATTGTAAGATTAGTTGGGTACTGTGCAGTTATTATATAATATGTGTTGACACTGGCAAAGACACACCCAACAGCAAAGTGCAAGTGTGTGATTTCCAGATTTTTGTGGCTTGGAAAACAGATACAGACAAAAATGGCAACAGCAGACCAACTAGCAGACATTGGGATAAAATGTTTTAAAAACATGATTTTAACGTGTCGATATAAGTGATATGGACAGCATTTTACTGTGCTTGAGTAGTAGAATTTGTAATTTGATTTTCTCTGCTGGTGTGTGTGACACACCGAACTCCTTGGCTTGGTGTTTCCATATGTAACAGTGTATAAACATGCTGATGCCTCATTGTAAACGGCCACTGATGGATGTGGCTAAGGCTATCCTGCATGGTATGAGGTATGGTCCTCCTCCAATGGCAAAAGCCACAGGCACAAGATACCCTATTTTGACAGCCTCAAAAACAGAAATTATTGTCAGTATTTCATTGCTCCAAGAAAGAGGCATTCTCGCATAAGATTACTGCTAAGCAAAATAATCCATGTACATGAAATTAATCTGGGGAAGAATAATGCTTACCGTGCCAGCCCATCGAATACGGAAATGTTGTTTCAAAGAGGTTGTCATATTTAATGCACAGTCTCCTCATGATTTCAGCTAGACCTAGACAGATCCAAACCAGAGGAGTTTTATGGTTGACAATCATAAAAACCAAGAGATATTATTGCAGAACATACAAAATAAGGGCAAATGGAAATATGTGAAATACAAGGGTACCATTTGTAAAACCACATGCAAGAAAAGAAGCGCAACATTTAGTTTTGAAGTAAAGGATAACATATACTTTCTATAAAACATAATTTGCCGATATGATGTGGTTCC